CAAGTAAGGTACTCATAATTGTATTTGCAATACTTAAGTAAATGTACTTAAGTTATGTTAGTTACCTATTAATGTCAACATATTGTACTGTGTAATCAACCCGCGTAGCATGAGCTACCTAGCTAACGCTAATATCAAGATACTGTTGTCAGAAGAAAACCCTTGCAGAGCGTCATTTACAAAAAGCACTGGGACCCCTTTTTTTTAATGAAGCACTGGGATGAAGCGCTCCCCAGCATCCTGCCACCGCTTCTCTGCCAAAGAAAAACACAATGTGAACACACCCCCTTAGGGAGCCCTTCCAGTAGCAAAAAAGTGATTAGGTGCCCTTAAATAAAGAAAACATGATGAAGTGCCCTCTAGGGCACCTTTCCTGTAGAGAAAATGTGATAAAGTGCCCTCTAGGGTAGCATTCCTATAGGGAAAACGTGAGAAGTGCCCTCCAGGGTGCCCTTCCTGTAGAGAAAATGTGATGAAGTGCCCTCCAGGGTGTCCTTAAAATTAAGAAAACATTATGCAGTACCATATAGGCTAACTTACATGCTAGATAACTTTATGCGTATTGATGCCCCACCTCTGGTGCCATTTTTATTTTTTTCAACCCTTCCCCTAAGACAGCCTGAGGGATTGATGTTCTGTGATACACCCAAATTCCTTGAATAATCAACAAACTTGTTAAACTGTGAAACTAATGACTTACCCATCAGCCGAACAGAGCCCCAGTGAATTCTTAGTTATGTTTTCACAGGAATATGTGGGTTGAAATGTAGGCAGCTGAAAACCCAGATGTACAATAGACTAATGGCTATCAAACAGAATATCAGCAATTTTTATTTGTCATCAAAATACACAAAAACCCCTAAATCCCAAACATATGTTACAAAACAATGGGCTTACTCACACACTGAATGTGTGGCTTTCTAATGGCTCAAATATTTTAAAAGCAGGTTCAACACCGAGGAATGAAATTACACAGCATATGCAGACACAAAACAGCAGCTGTGTTCAGCCACACTCAACAGAAGTTAGCACATTCTGCTATTAGAGAAAAAACAGTCACTAATAAAATTCCACACATTTTTCAGCCTCAAACTAAAGATTTTGATGTTCAGTATAAACACTGTCATCATACACGTAAGTATGAGATCTATCAGGTCTATAATATGTCTATAATGTGCAGTTGCTTGAACACTGGTACAATCATTGTATCTCAACAGGCCTTCCATTAGGTTTGTTTGTGTTCAGGGTTCTTAGACAAAGATCCTATGATTTAATTGACCCCCTGACCTTTTGTCTGGTGCCACCTCCAGCTTAAAATCCCCTTTAACCAACACTTCGGTGACAAATCAAAGTCTAATGTCAGTCAGTTATAATGCCGGGTCAGGTGTAATGAACATTCCAGTCTCAAAGTCATTTTTTTATAATCCTATTTTTTTGCATTACAAGGGACCTATTATGCTTTTCTGCATTTTGCCTCTTATGTAAAAAGTGTCAAGGATGCTCATATTAAATGTGGCCAAAGTTTAAAATAATGAGGTTTATATATGTAAAAAATAATCCCTGTGTGATAAAACCTCAAGTTTCTCACTGTTCTGTACACTCTGTTTCCAATTTTTTTCTACTCTGGCTACAGTATCATAGTGTGACAGATTTCTTAATATGGTCATCTTCTCCAGGCAGCACTCCTACAATGTGTTTACATCAGACAGCCTACACTGCTACATGACGCTACATACTAAAGTCACGTAAACATGTAAGTTTAGTTGCCAGAGTTGTGAATTTGTCCTCAATTTTAGACCAGATTCCAGCTGGAACATGTCCTGTTGTGTTTAGAAGCTTTTATTGGTAATTTTCCACATTAAAAAGGGCTGCTATTCTCCGCTACGGTCATTTTGGAGCTGCAAGTACAATGCTTATGTACATGTAGCCACATGCTAATGTCAGGAAAACATGTAATCATGATTGCTGATGGTGGAAGTATCTCCCCAATTTCGGATCATTATCGTGCTGGAACATGTCCTGCCATGTTTTGAAGCTTATATTGGTGATTTTTTACAGTTAAAAGCACTATTATTCTCTGTCAAGTCATTGCCCGACTGCAAGTACACTGCTACATGTACTGTAACTACATGCTAACGTCAGGAAAGCCTGTAATCTTTTTGCCGATGCTGTAAATTTCTCTCCGATTTTGGATTGGATTCCTGCGTGAACATGTCCAGTTGTCTGTGGAAGCTTTTACTGGTGATATTTTACAGTAAAAAAGAGCGGCAATTCTGCAATGAGTGTGCAGGGATGCCCAGATACAGGAGACCCAGAACTGCTGACCAATCAGAACAGACTAGACCATTTGGGAGGGGGCTTAAAGAGACAGACGCTAAATGGAGCAGCTCAGACAGAGGATAAATACAGGTGTTCCAGCACAGACAGTACAAGGAAAATAATCTATTTTTTGACCATTAAAGCATGTAAACATTGTCTAGTAGAAATGTTAAATACAGTTCTGAAACTGAAATTGAGCATAATAGGCCCCTTTTAATTATCATATAAGGCTGTTGGTGGGACTTACATGACTACATTCTACTGGCAATGGAGTAGCCTGAGTGTCAGACTGAAGCTCCCAGAACCTTCAGTCTGACATGGCTTCCATTGAAGGCGATTTACAAGGGGGAGGGAATTTGATTTTTTCCCTAACCGATCAGTAGAGATCAACGACTCACCCAGAATCTGACGTCATTAGTATCCATGCCTCGGGGGTGCCGAAAACAAGCGAGCATTGCCCGTTTAAAATGTCTCTGTCGTCGTGCACGCCCAGCTGCATCGCCGTTAAATCCAGTTTAGCAGCTTCCTTAATTTGGTCCTCCATTAATGCGAGTAGTGGCGAAATACCTCGATAGCATCGTTAATGTGGTCTGTAGGATCTGTAGCGGTCGCCATTGTTGCTATCCTCACCAGTTACCCACCGGCGTACAGCTTGACATCAGCGTGGCGCTGATTGGCTAATCGCTAGACCCCCGGCGTTCATTGGTCCGTCCATCATTTGGACGAGATAAATCGCAAATTCATTGAAGTATGCCAGACCAGTAATGCAAGCCTACTCAGATGAGTGGGCGGGGTCTATGGTCTGGAACTAGGCTAGCAATGGAGTGTAAATCAGTGACAATACTGCATGCTAATGTGTAAACACACAACATTTAACATCATATCAGTCTTTACAGCACAGTTTCCACTGAAACCAGTCATATATCACGTTACCTGACAAAAAACTTCTTATCACAATGCAGTTACTTTCTGTTATTACCAGTCATATTCATTTTACCTTAGTTATTATGGTAACATTTTATTTTACTGGTCCCATAATTTCCTAGGAAAACAATGATATAGTTCTTTCCAGGAAACACCCAAATAAATTATTCTGTTGTAATTATCAGTATTATTTAAAAACTTTCATTTTTCTGTAGTGGCTCCTCATCTCCCTTAACACTGCCTGATGGGAATGCTATGAATGTGGATTTTGGAAATGTAAAGGAAGCAAAATGTCGGAACAAAGTGCTGCTTTTAAGCAGTGGAAACTGCAGACACACGAGGCTCGCACTATACATGCAAGTCATTATCAGCATTTGTTTAACACATGGTACATTTGAATTACTGGTCAATGAAATAATAAGACTACACTTGAAAAGCTGCTGTACATTGCTGCACTGTCAAGACCATGGAGTACTTGTGGAGTCGAATAAAAGTAAAAAAAAATCCAATTAAAACCTTAACGTTAACAATCCAACATGAACAACAAATAGGCATCATTAAGACAATTCCATTTAAATTAACCAGCCAGTGTGAAGACTACTGTATGGAGCTGAATCAGTCATTCAAACTTTATCCTTATTAAAAAATAAACCAGTAGATGTCAACCTGAGTGCAAACCACTTTGTTCTAGAAAAGGTTCAAGACAACATGCAGCTGTAATCCAGTGTAAATCATAACGTTTGTAAGGTCAGTTAAAAAAAACATTAAATCTAGCAATATGAACTGTGATTACTAAAACATTTCTCGAACTTAAAAATGTAAAGAAGTAGAGAACGAACTGTTTCAGACATTGACGATGAAACCTGAGCTCGTACAAGAGTCTGTGTTCAACAAAGAACTGAAAAGGTTGTACTCAAAACCTACCAGATGGGAACTTCTGTCCCAGCTTATTTAAAGGAGCAGTCTGATTTGTGGGAAGTTCCTATTTGCTGTCATTACCACAATCAGATTTTAGTAATCAATATCAGTTTTACATCTCTTTGTTAAACCCAGAAATAGTTTCAGAATATGTTTATCTTAGCTTAGCACAAGGACAGGAAGCACAGGGACACCAAGCCTATCTAAGCCTCACCTAGCTTGGTAAAGAGAAATAAACATATACACCCTCCAAAGCGCCCACAACTGCCATGTTGTGTCTTGTTTATCGAACAGGTGTGGCAGTTATTATTGGAACCAGGGTTCCCACCCATTTTCATGTACAAAATTTCAAAACTTTTTAGGGCCCCTAATAGAATGTTCATTTTGGAAAAGCATGCACTTCACTGTGTCTGCTGCACTTGCTGGCCTGGTTATGGTACTTTTCAACGCAAACGTGCAGGAGAGAGAATCTCCCACGATAAACGCTGCCCCACTACGTCACACCTCAGGTCTAAAAGCCCATCTGTATCAAGCATCAAAAAAGTTATTTAAGTTAAGGTTTTTTGATGCGACTACTGTGCATCACGTCAACGCTGAAATGATATATCCAATAGGGGTGGGGGAAAAAATCGATTACGATACAGCAGAGTATCACGATATTTCTGTGTGGCAATATTCTATCATCACACAGTGGTGAGTATAATTTTTTTTTACTACATAAATGATTAATATTACAAATACAAATGAAACTTTAGGTAGCCTACTAAAATAATATAATCAACTGCTTTTTCAGTCCACTTAATACATTTTGCTGCTGCAGAAAAATGGCTGAGGTGAGATGAACAGACAGAGCAAACTTTATCTTATTAAATAAAATAGATGTTGACAAAGTTTTGGGGGCATAATTTAATACTGAAAACATCATTAATTGTAATACATTGCAATATATTTTATCATAATTTCTGTATAGCTATTCTTGATGGATGTTCCCGGGTCCTAATCCTGTGAAATTACACTAAACGATAAAACAATATACAACAGTATGCATTTTCAGAGGCAAACCTTCCCACTGAGTAGTATGTTAGTCGATTACATTACAAATTTATTTTTGAAAATTTTTTATGGTGTGCGGTGCTTGGTTTTGGCTCGACTTTCCAACATAGAGGGTGAGTCACAAACTTCTCATTTTACAGCTAAACAGCACACTAAAATATGTTTCCAAAAACATTTGAGAAGAGAAATACGCAATGCAGCAACAGTATCTTGATTCATATTTGATCAGCGCTGCCTAGTTTGACAGTTTGACTGCAATTCACAAGCAGCGTCTGACTGATGACTGACAGACACACCTCAGCTCTGATTGATTGTTTTCATTCAGCTGTGGTGGAGTCTAGCAAATTCCGAAGGAGGAAGCAAAGGAACATGATTTTTTTTATTTTGAGATTATATATACATTTTGATCAGCACTGATCATGTGGTGTACTTTTGTTTTGTGTTGGTGGAGATAGCAGCCAAATGTTGGCGAATATGTTCCACCGTCTGTTTGCAATTAAAAATAAAATGTAGAAGAGGTGGTTAAAAAAAAAGAAAGCCATTGTCACTTCCGGTAAGGGCGAAATTTAAGACAACACTACCCTGCTGAAATTAGTGCACCACGCAAGAAGTAAGTAGTGTACATAGTGTACTACGTGTAACGGAAGTCTGCAATTTGAGACATACTCCAAATTATCACCATATGCAAAATACTTATAAAACCACTCCAGCGGCCGTATGCTCGCAAGCAACACAACGCAAAAAATTTGCCTCACATTCGGTGTGAGTACACCATTATACATCTATGTACTCACTCCACTAACCTGCTGCCCTGACTGTGGCAGTATTAATTCACTGCTTTGTAACGTGCATGCCATCTGAAATTTACCATGGAGGAGATGCAGAGACTGACAGAGAGTCGGAAGAAGAAGATGAAGAAGCGTAAATTATTAATGAGCCAGCTAATTATTGAGCTTATCACCTGTGTGTTTTTATTAGCTAAGGATGATTTCTTTCAGAAATGACAGCTACCTGTTGCTCACTCTGCTCTCAGGTCTATTCAGCTTTGCCGAGGGTCTTACCCGGTGGCTGATGTGACCTGACCGACCCCCTGCCTGTTCAGCAAAATTTTTGTTGTTGCCATTTTCAAAGTTGTGCCCCTCACGGCAGACTGTCAGTTCAATGCCAGTCTGTTTAGCACAAGCTAACACAACAGCAGCTGCTAAAATCCAACACCGAGCCGTTAAACAGTCCCAACAAACTTACACCAACATGAAAAAGGCGCAACTCTGTCCTTAAACCACTTAATAACCGTTATGTAATATTAGCTCTGTGATCCTAACAGTTAGCCCTGTCAATGTGTGTGCACAGCCAGGACTTTTAGGCCTGTCCCTGACACGGAGCTCACACTTCTGCAGCAACAGCTACACCCTGTACTCGAACACAGTGTACCAACAGAGTTTGCGATTCAGTGTGCCGAGAAACCACCAAACATCTGCGGGACATTTAGGTGACAGTGACATTCACATAATGTAGTAGCCAAGCTGACTGCACTAATGATGGATCTGCAATGTGCAACATTTTTTTTGGCCAACACTGGATATCAGAAATAACGCCAGAGACCGTATTGTATTAAGTTGCTGTGAGCTGTAAATTCACCACTTCTAAGAAGAGGAGAGACAACAATGTTATCACGGAGTCTGACCTTGCAAAGCCTCCCCTCCTCCAGGCAGCTGCCACTGTGTACGCAGCTGACTGCACTGAGGAGCAGCATGAAAGTGAGGACACTCGCTCTGCAGCAAAATCTGGGGACCAAAACTCCCCCAAAAGTACATTGCACAGCACACTGATTGACAAAAAAAAAAAAAATAAAAAAAAAATCAACTGCTCAACTTGAAAGAAATCTCAGTAAATGGAGGGGTTTCCGACTGATGATTTGAACCTCCGACTTTCAGGGGGCAGCTTTACTTTGTTTAACCACAGTCATATTTTAGTGGGGGAGGGCTTGTGTTTTGTATTCTGGCTTAGGGGAGGAACATACAAATTCAAAAGGCATGTTTTTTTATTTTATTTATTTTTTTTACCCCAGATTTAAAAAAAACAACAAAAAAAACAAAACATGCCTTTTAAACCTGATGGTATTGGAGGGCATGTTACTTTAAACTTACACCAAAATTACACCATTTATCACAGCCAGAAACTGTAAAAACAAAAATTATAGTGGGATTTTCAAATTTCTGACCATCCTTGGACACATCATGTGCGACAAACACTTCTGTCAGACAAAAAACAGAACCCAATTTGAGCTTAAAATACTGATATTTTATCAAAATCACTTTATGCTATGTCTGTCATTTAAAATTTGGCCAAAAATAAGGTGTTTGCACGAACTAAACAGCATGCAGGACAAGAGTGGAGAAAAAAAGGCTTTTGTTGTCTTCAACTTTTAACTTTCAAACATCTAAGGGTAGGGGTGGGAATAAGCAGAGGACCCACGATACCATATCATCATGATACTTGAGTCATGATACAATATTATTGCTATTGTAAGTATGCTGCAATATGCTGAGTCTTGCAATAAAATATATTGTGATTTTTTTCTTTTTTTTTTAATGTAAATTACATCCCCAAAGGAAAACTTTGTCAACATCTGTTTTATCTTTTATGATTAAGTTTTAAGTATGTTTATGCCCCTTCAGCCATTTATTTGCAGTTGTAAAATGTAACTAGTGAACTGAAAAAGCAATTGATAACGTTTAATTTGTATCTATTATTATTACTAATTTATGTGATTAAAAACACTGATACTTAGCACTGTGAGACGATACAAAATTGCCACACAAAAATATCGTGATACTATGCTGTATCAATTTTTCCCCCACCTCTATCAGGAAGTTTTAAAAAAAATCTCCAAACCAATTTATAGGGGAGGGAGGGCATTGCATTTTCAGCCAGTCACCCAGGGAGGCTGGAGGAAAAATATTTGTAGCTTCGGGGACTACCAAAATAAATAAATAAAAAAGAGCAAGAGAGAGAGAACAGTCCCTTATTAATTTTAACACAGCCACAAATAGATACATTACCTCATCCCTGTGCATCCTGCAAACAGCTGTTGAAAAAATTTCACTCACTTGCTTCCAAAACAAACGCACTATCAGTGCATAGTGTAAAGATCACTATCAGATCTTTACAAAAAGAGGTGTCGGTGGTTGTGGGAAATGCAGTCTTCCTTCCTGGAAACACTACCGCTTTTGTAAACAAGGGCTGTCAAAATTAATAGGAGATGAAAGCTCCTGTCTCAACTTGTCTGGTTTCAGGTTCTTCACCAGATGTTGGAAAAGATTAGATTTTTTTTCCCTGGGACACTGTCATGTTGAAACAGGACAGGGACATGTTGTGCACAAGATGGAAATAGGACTGTTAACTGGTCTATGCTTTCAGATTCAGCAGGGCTAGCTGTTTTCTCAAACTGTGGGTTTGATTGTAAACAAGTATATTTCACCTAATCAAAAGAAACATGAACTATAGTTAGCATCCAGCTTCATCTGTGCTCCCAGGCCTGACACAAGCAGGCAATCTGGGATTTCCTGATTATATCCTACAACTTAACAAGAGCTGCCATAAAAATGGAAAAGAAAAAACAGTCAGTGATGATTTCCTTAAAGTGTACTAGTAGCTATAAATATCAACAAAATCACACAGGCATAGGGAGGAAATAAAAATAACCCAATGAGTAAAATGGAATAAAGGCATCAAGGAAATTAAAAAAAAAAAGGAAATGATAAACCGGTAAAATGAAGAACTGCTGTGGGCCCACAAGGGCTTTTCTATCATCATCTCAGGCCAGCAGCATCATTCCATCATCTTTCTATCTCCGTCTCTTCTCTTCACATCAGCACCACTCCTCTCCTCTGCCCAATCACCATCCCTCTCTGTTTCTCCTTCCATCACTCCATCCATATCTTGTTGCCTTCAGGCGGAGGATGAATCTTTGGCGGCTGGACAGAGGGACAATACACTGTGTCTACAGCAAAACCTTCCTCTCCAGGTCATCTGAAGAGAAACAGAGTGAAGATTTAACATTTATGGTGTTCTGTTTAAGAGTCACAATCAAAGTGTGTTTCCGAAACATAGCGACATGAGCCCAAACATGGTATAAGTGTACTTTTTACTTATTTGTAACTGAAAGGAAACTGCCTCTAGCTGCTTGGTTGGCTTTTAAACAGTACCAAGACTGAACTAATCCCATTTCACGTTCAGTATTTCCAGCAGAAATGAGCATTCGACATGTGTATGTGTAAATCACCATTCTAATAATGGCTTGTATCTTACCCACAAAGTCATCCTTTGTGGGTAAGATACAAGGCTGTGGCTCAGAGGTAGAGCTGGTCGTCCACCAATCGAAAGATCAGCGGTTCGATCCCGGGCTCCTCCAGGCTGCATGTCGAAGTATCCTTGAGCAAGATACTGAACCCCAAATTGCTCCTGATGGCTGTTCCATCGGTGTGTGAGTGTGTTAAAAAAACAACTGAGTAGCAGGTGGCACCTTGTATGGTAGCCTCGGCCACCGGTATGTGTGTGTGAATGAGTGAACGTGACTTGTAGTGTAAAAAGCGCTTTGAGTGGTCACTAGATGACTAGAAAGGCGCTATACAAATGCAGGTCCATTTACCATTTACCACCCCCACACATAGAGTACTGTGGAGATTCTCCACAAGAGGAACTGTTCATTGTCAAACAAATTTGACTCATGCCAACTAGAGGGCTGGGTGTCTTTGGAGATGTTTCAGTACCTGAGGTGATGGAACACCTAAGTAGTTTCTCAATACCCTCCTGTGGCAAATACAAACAAGTTTTTCTTGTAACCCCTTTATCATAAAATGAAAGAAGCCACAGTTCTCAAATGCAGTCACACAAGAACTATGCCAGGTTAAAATAGCAGAACTAAAATGATCCTTAGTTTTATATCACTGTAAACTGAATCTCTTTTGTACAGCTGGTTGGACAAAACAAGACGGTTGAAGATGTCACTTGGAGATTTTTTTTCTCTCTAACCTTTTATAATCAGGCTAACATTGGTACTGAGTCACTAGCTAACGGTTACCTAAGGCACTGAAGTGTCTTATCATTTTCATAATCACCTTACCGTACTGTTAGCTCGTCACTCAGTGTAGCACCAATGTTATGTCTGATAATAAAAGCTTTGCTAACGTTAGGTCTCTATAGCTCCCTTTTACACTTGCTGCTTTGATGAGCATCAAAAAATATTAAAGCCACTGATGTACACTGTCTTGTGAAAACGTGCAGTAAAGCTCCATGGAGCTTACCACCTACTCATAAACTTGACGACAGCTTTTCTTCATTTCAGTTACCAGCTAGGCTTGCAGACTAGCTAACCTCACAATTTAAAGACTGAAGTGTTATCAAAATGATCAGTAACACTACCCACCATATTCCTAGCCCCAATGATACCTTCCGTGAACTATGGGCGCTACTTCGGGCGCTGAACAGGAACTGACATTTTCCAATGGCAACAATAAGCTAACAGTACACTAATCCTCTATCATAGAACGATTGCGAAACAAAATGTGGAACACGCCAGCAGTTACTTGTCAGACAAAAGAATAATGTGATCATACTTTTGTCATCTCTGACACCCATCTTAAAGCATTGGTTGTTTTCATTTTCAACCAAGCATCTTAGTGATTAGCTTGCCTTGCTACATTAACATGTTAAATTGAACAGAGCTCGAGCTAGTTTACAGTAAACATCATCTACTCCATATAAAAGATGATTTATAATTTCTTATGACACAAAAACAGACGTTAACACATTTGGTGAACATTTAACATTATTCTTTATCAAATCTATCAATTTTAGCTTTGTGTACAGTGAAAAAAATGTTTAGCCTGTGCAAAATTGATGGGAAACAGCAGAAAATCATCATTCATTGCCAGTGGTGAACGCCATCTTATTTGCCAATAGGCCGATAGCAGTCAACAAGGAGAATATCTGCTAATGTGCAGCCAGTAAATCGTTGCATGCCTAATACACATAAAAAATTACACACAACTTAAGTGACAAGGTTATCAGATATTTTGGTTATTTTGTATGTCACGCTTATACATTTTACAAAAGTGGAATATGAGCACAGTTATACTGTATTTCAACTTACTGAGGTACATTCGCATAAAGCAGATGCTAACAACACATGAAAGCTAGTTTTATACCAGGTTTCCCATAAATATCACCAATGTTAACCCACTCCTCCATACTTTGACTGGACAGTTTGAACTGGTGCCAAAAACATGCTGTGTTTTGATCCTGAACTCACTAAATGTTAAGAATTACACTGTAAAAGTGATAAGGCTCTTTTCTCACCTGCTGTGTGCCTCTTGGATTGGTTCCAGCACTAACACCTTACACTCTCTCTTGGCTATTTTGTCCAGTGAAATGAGGGTGTGGTCAGGAGGCAGGTATGGGCTTCTGCCCGCTGGAGGTCCGACGGGAGGGGTGATGGCTCTACACTCCATCACACTGCCTGACCTGGAGTCAGCAGAGACACTTAGTCATGGACATGATGATAGACAGGAATGTGTAGATCTGTCTCTAAAGGTCTCTCCTGTCCTGCATAAACTTTGTCTTACAATGACATCATCTGTAATGTGGCACATTTATGAAATTACAGCTGGCTACAATCTGTGTTGCATTTTTAATATTAACATCAGTTTTTGGTTTAGGGTGAGGGGACCCTAACCCAACTTCACTACCACTAGGAAGTACCTCCTCACAGATGGATGTAAAAAATGATAACAATAATTCAAACCTCCAACTATCTATCTAAAAACAATTTTATGAGCCTGGCTTCAAAACAGATTGTTGTGTTTACAGACATGTATTATAACTGTTGTTACACTTCTTGACCAATACGTGTCACTGTGAGATTGTGTATTAGAGAGAGGGACAGATGCTGAGAGAGGTGTGGCGGAGGGATATACAGAATGAGAAGAAGTAGTACAGAGGTCGAGATGTATGCTACAAGTGTTAAGTAGTGTTAGAAAATAAAGCGTTGAACTAGTATGCGAGTCTTAGTATCTCATATAGGCTTTTCAAGAGGCTTATTTAATAGCCAATTATGGTGAGAATTAGGGACGCACGATAATACTGGCACCTCACTGGTATTGGTATCGGAATCAGCCATCATGCTGCTAACAGAAGTAGAATGAACTGTCCGAATCGGCCAACATGATTTTTCTTATTTTGCACAGTGAATGAATATTACATACATTGAAAAGTATTGTATTTCATGTCTCCATCTGCTGGTGGGCCATCACGATTAGGGTATGTATGTATAATATGATGTTAATTTCACTACAGAAGAGACTTGATGATAACTAAAATTAAATGCGGAATAAGGTGGATATATCACATCAGTATCGGTTATCAGCCAAATGAGTTGTTACATATCGGCATATCGGCAAAAAACAATACTGTGCATTCCTAGTGAGAATAAACATTTGTCTTTCTTATAAAATATCCAGTCCTCACAGAAAGATTTTGGAAGCAGCACGTTGCTGCACACTGATCCCCTGGCTGTACCTGACGTGGTGTGACCTGGACGGTTGCCGGTGGGAGAAGCTCTGCGATCGGCCCAGGCTGTGTCTCTCCAGCAGCTCTCTGGCCGTAGGGCTGGACGATGATGATGGAGAGTTCCTCAGTGGGGATCTAGGCTCCACGGGAGGAGTGGACATTGAGGCTGTGAACTGGAGCTTCAGTTTCATGTGCTGGCTCAGCTACAGCGTTATCACGGAACAGGGCAGGGATGCACAAGATGGGAGAGTACTTTGAGTATTACTAAGTGTAGCAGTGTTTATTTTGTCAGTTAAGTAATTCGTGTTTTAATGCATTGCAATGCACCATGCAGTACCTCAAAGAGTCCAGTCCTGAGGATCTGGAAGGCCACAGTGAAGGAGATGGTGGAGCCCTTCCTACACTGTCCCAGGTTGTTGAGGGGAGACTGGCACACCACTGCCCCCACCCTGTAGTCCTGCTGGCCTCCTCTTTCAGCTGATGGATGGATGGATGGATGGATGGATGGATGGATGGATGGATGGATGGATGGATGGATGGATGGATGAATGGATGGATGGATGAGGTTGTGGGGGGAGAGAAGTGAGAAAGAATATGATTCTAGATAGAAAACTAGATGACTCAAAGCAGATTTACTTAAAGACTTCCAACCCAAGCTTTCTGAATGACTACAGACCTGTAGCCTTAACATCATTCATCATGAAAATATTTGAACGCTTGGTATGTAACCACCTCTCCAGTGTCACTCTAGAACCATATCAGTTTGCATATAGGGCTAACAGATCTGATGATACTGTGTCATTGTGCCTGTACTCCATTCTGCAACATCTAGAGGTTCCTGGCATTTATGCAAGAGTTCTTTTTGTGGATTTCAGTTTAGCTTTTAATACTATTTTGCCAACCAGACTGTATGTCAAGCTCCTTTTCCTTTCCTTTTCATCAGTTGAAGAATCATTGTGTCAGTGGGTACTGGACTTTTTAACAGACAGGGTTCAGGTGGTTAAGTGCAAAAACAAACACGGAGGCCGCACAGGGGTGTGTTCTGTCCCCAGTCCTGTTCTCACTGTACACAAATGACTGTACTTCACACTGTCAATCAGTTTAATTGTTTAAATTTGCAGACACTATAGTAGTGGGTTTAATCACAAGGAATAATGAATCAATGTACAGGACTTATAATAATATTATTACTTTCATTATTGCTGTTGTAAGCTACTGTCATTACCGTCTGTCCTGCATCTCTCTCTCTCTCTCTCTCTCTCCATCTCTCTTTCTGTCTCATTGTGTCATACGGATTACTGTTGATCTGTCATGTTGATCTGTTCTGTACGACATCTATTGCACGTCTGTCCGTCCTGGAAGAGGGATCCCTCCTCAGTTGCTCTTCCTGAGGTTTCTATCGTATTTTCCCCCGTTAAAGTTTTTTTTGGGGGGAGTTTTTCCTTATCCGCTGTGAGGGTCCAAAGGAAAGAGGGATGTTGTATGCTGTAAAGCCCTGTGAGGCAAATTGTGATTTGTGATATTGGGCTTTATAAATAAAAATTGAAAAACTGATTGAATTGACTGACTCAAATTTCATCTTTGGTGGACTGGTACAGTGCAAACAACCTGGAACTGAATGTTTCAAAGACCAAGGAAGCAGGGGCGATTCTAGGATCAGAGGTTTAGGGGTGCTGAGCACCCAGAGAGCTGCCCAGCCAGGCAAGATAAATTTTACTGTTTTGTACATTTTAACGCAATTTCATTGCCACATTTGTGAAAGAAAAACACTTTTTGGCAAAGTCTGTGACTAAACCATTAAATCTGATAAAGGTTATTTAAATGCTGAGCCACAGCAAAAGAGGAATGGATTGGAATCATAAAAGAAACATATCGTAACCCTAATTTCTAGGGGAGGATAACTCATTTTGATACAGCAGCTCCTCAACATACACATAAACAGTATGTATGTTTCTGGAGTAAACCAGCCCCCTATAGTGAGTACCAAAAATACCAAAAATGGATCTTGAACTTATTTTTTGGACTTTTATTTTAAATGCAATGCACAACATGTAACATTAACACATTAACAGTAACTGACTTTTTCTATGTTTGTCTCTGCCTTTTCCCTTCTTGTCTGTATTATAATACAAATACATAAATAAAAATACACTTAAAAAAATAAAAGTGCTTGAAATCTACAAAATAATAATAATAAATACACACAATAGGAGTTATAATGATAATGGGCATCCAGTCATTTAGCTCGTCAGTAGCACCTTGGCTTTAATATTAACACATGCACATGACACAACAGCAAGCTTCTCTCATTCCAGTTCAAACAGAGGACAGTGGTACTGACCACCTGTAATGTTTCCTAGCTAGAAAAAACGTTAGCTAACTCCTACCTAACAACATGAACAGTGACCTATGATTAAATGCAGCAAAAATGAGGACTGGCAATGATAATAATGTGTTGGTATTGAGTGGTAGAAGTTAAGAAAAGTGCCACATATCCTGGTTCTCAAATTTTACTGGTGCTGGGATTCAATTTAGGGGTGCTTCAGCACCCCCAAAAATGGGCTAGAAACGCCTATGCAAGGAAGTCATTGTGGACTTTCGCAGTAGACACAAAGATCACCTACCCTTGGCCATCAACAACACAGAAGTGCAGAGAGTGGACAGCTACACATTTCTAGGTGTTAACATCTCATCCTCCTTGAAATGCAAGGACAACACCAGCTCTGTTTTAAAGAAAGCCCACCAGAGATTGTTCTTTTTAAAACAGCTAAAAAAGTGTGGTGTGTCCAGTAAAAGACTGCTACAGTTTTATCGAGAGCATCCTTACCTTTGCCATAACTGTCTGGTTTGGGAGTGTGTCTGCAGAGGAGGAGAGGCAGCTGAGCAAGGTGGTGCGCACTGCATCAAAAATTATTGGGTGTGACGTCCCATCTATCGCAGAAATCTATAAGGCCAGGCTGCACAAGAAGAGCCTTATGATTTTAAATGATCCTTCCCACCTAGCTAACTGCCTTTTTAACTTTCTCCCCTCACAAAAAAGACTAAGAAGCATCAAGACAAGAACAACTAAATTCCAGAACAGTACATACCCACAGGCTGTCCGACTTCTCAACACCTTGGAATTATTTTAAGCAACACAATCTGAACTGTTTTATGTGCAATGACTATATTTTTATTTTTTTACTCATTTTTATTGTGCACTTTATACTGTATTTGATGCTGCTAATCCCTCTACAGGTCTCAGCGATTTTTTCGCAGATTTTCCTTGGCCTGAAGTGCTAACTTTGACATCACAGAAAGTAACTGAGAAGTGAGAAATTGTCAGGAAAAAAGAACATCTGTGGTCTTATTATTAGTTGGGCCGAGGGGTGCAACGGTACAGGTAGCCCACAGTACGGTCCGTACCTCGGTTTTTGGGCCACGGTTTCGGTTTTGTGCGTTAAAGACAATTTTTTCCCCAAAAAATGATCTCTTTATTCTGCTTGATTTTGCACTTGACATGCTGCTGTGTTGTGCTACAGCCTATTCAAGTGCTGGAATTTGTTATTTATGTGACAACGCTTGAACGCAACACAGGCTCCACTCCATAGACTGGCTCGGTTATAATTGTCTGTCAGGAAAATGCGGCCCAGGCCACGCCCTTGTGTGCTCACGTGTGTGTGTGTGTGTGTGTGTGTGTGCGCGTGTGTGTGTGCGCATTGGGGCCGAACTCCGCCATGCACGACACAGAGAGCAGAGGAGGACTGTAAATGTGCAACCATGTAGAGACAGAAATGACATGCCATTGTGTAAATAAGATAAATAACATAAGGCTATTTAGTTTGTTTAATAAAAGGACAAGGTACGGGGCGGGGCGCCCCCCTAATATAACGGTAGGGGAAACACTAGACATGTTTCAAGCAACGTTTGCAGACAGTGAAATTTCTGTTAACTGTTTTCACTCCCTCGTCGTTTTATTCAGCAGCGAAACCGAAATGATCCCACACCGGAGATTTGTATGAAGCCGGTGCTTCTTCAAACTTCTGTCTCTCAACTCCTCTGCTTGCCTTTGCCATGGCTCTCTATGTTTGTTTTTTCCACTTCTTTTCTGTGTGAGGGAAGCGTCACTTTTCCCGGCTCCAGTTACAACAGTGTAAGGGGGTGAGTGGGCGGAGCCACAACAGTGATTGGACATTAAGTCGCGGGGAGGGCTTTGTGACGACGCATCCTTTATTACAATGGCTCTGATTGAAACTGGTAGAAACATGGACTAGTTCACTCGATACCACCAAAGTTCCAAGAAACCTGGATGGAACCGGTTCAAGAACCAGAGCTAATTTGTTGGAAAAGGGGTATTCGAGAGAAAAGACCTCCATCAAGGCCAAATGCACTATCTTGCAATGTTAAGTAGTGCTGCACGATTTGATAAAAATGTGCGATTGCGATTATGGTGGACAATATCACGATTTGGGATTGCGATTGCAATTACAATATAATTACAATATACAATATAATAAATAAATGGTATCATGAGTCTTTTTGCTTGACTCAGTGTTTCCCCTACATTATACGAGGGGGGCACTGACCTGACCTGACATAGTTATTGTTATGGACAGATAGTGTGTCAATGACCATCAACAGACTGAGCACAGTCAAACACACTGCTCACAGCAGCGCAGCATGGAACTGTACACACAGCGGAGCGAGCCTGTGTTGCATTCAGGCATGTCAAGTGGGCCGAAACTGAGCAAAATTGGTCAATTTTTCATTTGTTATGGAGTCCATGACTTCCCTGTGACACTTACAAATGTTTGCTTAACTGTGCTTGGATGTTGTTTTATGAGGCTCTGGTGGCTTTCAGTTGTCTCTTTGTCTTTAACTTTACACGGCTCGGCTTTCTCTCGCATGCACTCTTCCTACTTTTCCCTGTGCTGTCTGTGTTGTTAAAGATTGGTCATGTTGCTGCGGGGGGTCCATGTCATTGGTTCGACAGCCCATTTGTTTGACATCCCATTAGTCCGACTGTCCGCGGTGCTGAACGGCTCGCGGCGGGTGTATGGTGCGCCGCGACCGGCTTGAGGCGGAGCAGTCTCACGGCTTATGTGTTTGTCACTTTCTTTTTCATTTTAACCCACACCATGATCTTTTCCTGACCCTAACCAAGTGGTTTTTGTGCCTAAACCTAACCAGACCTTAACCACAGGGCATCATGATGATTTCAGAACGGACTTCGGAACAATGAGTTTAATATGGTCGCAACAATGGGATGTCGAACCAATGGGCTGTCGAACCAATGGGCAGTTCCCGCTGTGGGATGTGGCGACTTTAACTTTTACACTTACACAGCACGTCTTTCTGTTCAACGTCACCGTCCCTGAATCCAAAGTATCGCCATGTAATAGACGTTGCATTTTTTTCGCCACCAACTCAGCCTGTTCACGGTCGTGCTCATGCTCTTCTTCAGCGTCTGTGTTGGTCACTGCTGCACGCCGGCTGCA